TGCAAGTATTCCCTGCCTCAGGGACTGTCACCAGCATAAACTCAAGACAAAAACCTCAGAGGCCTTTTTGACGCTTCTCATCTGTCCAAACACTGGAGCCTTCCTGTGCTGCCTCCCACACTTTTCCAAGTCCATTTCTTCTCCCCGCTCCCTTGACCGCTGTCGGAATCCAGATTATCATCTTCCCACAATGCAGTAGTGCTCTCCAGCTTGTCTCCCTGCCTGAACACTGCCCTCTCAGTACTTAGAAAGCTTTGCTTCTTTCCTATGGTGTCACACATGTCAACCACCCCTCCTCATTTTTTCTTTTTTTTTTTAATTAATTTTAATGAAAGTTTACAAAGACTTAGGATTTCCATTCATTCATTGTTGCACTTTTCTCCCTGTCCACCCCCCATTTGCTCTTCTCTTTGAAAAGTAAAAGAAAAATTCTTTTATTGTTATACAGTCCCCCACCCCCAGTTCACTCCACTATGCAGCCTTCGTTCTAGACTCCTGTCATGACAATAATACCTAATCATATATTCCTTTTATACAGCTCTCTCCCTCATCTGTTTCAATGCCATGTACAGTATTTATGCCCTCTTTTCTTAGTTTCCCCCAACCCCCTGTCAGTCCTGTTTTATAATAGTAGCATTAGACAGTATTTGTCTTTTTGTGACTGAGATATTTTACTCAGCATAATGTCCTCATGGTCACTCATTTTGTATATTTCATGAGTTCTTTGTTTTTCAGTGCTGCACAATATTCCATTGTGTGAGTATACCACAGCTTCTCTATCCATGTGTTTGTTGATGGGCACTTGGGTTGTTTCCAACTCTTTGCTATTGTGATCAAAGCTGCAATAAACATGGGTGTGCATATATCTGCTTGGGTGGCGATTATGGTTTCTTTAGAGTGCCCGCTCCTCATTTTTATAATCAGTGCCTGTGCGATCAAGTCGACCCTCCTCATGGCAAACTTCCATTGGGTTCCTGAGGCCATCAATCTTAATCAGAAGAGAGTGTTTGGGTTTTTTGCTTGGAGCAGATGGTAGATTCAAACCACCAACCTCTTGGTTAGCAGCACAGCATAGACTTATGCCCTATACTAGCAGCACGCCTACCTCCTTAACTGGTACTGGAAACATAAGTGAGCTTATCACATGTAGACAGTCTAATGGATTTTCTCAAACGCACTCATATAACCTCTGACCTGGTAAAGACCATCGAGAACACCTGCATTCCAGAAAGCCAGAGCGTCTGCTGTCGAGCTCACAGTGACCCTCCTTCTGATGGGTTTGCAGTGCGACATCGTATGAGAGGAAACTGCCTGTCTCTCTCTTATGAAGCAGGTGTCAGGTTGCACCTCCCAAACCTCTCAATAAGTAGCAGCCTAATGCCTAACTCATCACTCTACCAGCCTCTCGCCTGTCCCCATTGATTTTCCCCCAGGAGAAATTACTAGGATGGCTTCTACTAACATTGTTTCCTTTCTCCCAGTTTTGTATATTTTTTAATAAGTGAAAACCTACCAAATTATATTACCTGTTGCTGAATATCAAACTACCAAGAAACTTGATGGCCTAGAAAACCTGGAAGCCCTGTCTTTAGATTCATAACTTCTTAAAACTGTGCTTTCTCTCATCTCCTTTTACTTCAAGCTTCATGGGAAGAAGTTTCTTAGGCGCACTGTGTCCAGGCCCCTTGCTGTCATTCTCCACCAGCTACACCCGAAGTTCCACAGAAACCAGTCCCATTAACAAGGTCAGCAATTGGCTCCTTGTTGCTGAGCCAAACGAACATTCTGCCCCTCTCTTTTCCTCCTTGACACTAATCATCCACCCTTGACTTTAATGATACTCAGAGTTCTAGAGCATTTTCTTGTTGACCTAGCAGAATTCTGTCTCTTCAGCATCTCTTACCTAGACTATCCCAGCAGCTCAAGCCTTAGCTACCTTGCTACTCCAAGTCCATCTTCTAGACTTAGGATCCCTGTGAACATAGGTTTGATCACAATTAAAAATCTGAGTACCTCATCACCACCATAGAATAAAATGCAGACGTAGCAGGGCACAAACGATCTTTGAAAATCGCATGACACCTTCCTCTCCCATCTTCTCTGACCAGCACACAGTCTGTGCTTCCGGAACCTTGACTCTCCATAGTCTTTTGTTTATTTATAGTCTAACATCTTTTACAAAGTTCTCTTGACTGGGATGTTTTTCATCTCCCCCTAAAAAGGTGCTCATCATCCTTGAAGTCTTCTTTCAAACAACACCTGCTCTGTGAAAATGGACAAGATTAGTGGGCCTTCCTAGTCCTGTTTGTTCCTAAAAATAGTAATACAAAAAGAACCCACTCACCCCCAACTGTGCTAACCTTGCCTCACTCCTGCTAGAACAGAAGCTCCTGAGGAGTGTTTTTCGCTGAGAGATGGGCTCCCAGGGGAGTGTCTGGTGCAGTGATCACTCAGTAAACACGTGTTAAGTGGATGCTTTCGTTGAGGACTTACTCTCCTGCCCCTCCTCTTTCCCTCCTCACCCTCCAAGCCTATGGGGAAGGAACTGCTTGTATCCTAGTTTTACAGAGGATGAAATAATACATAATTTGCCCATGGTCACAGTTGATTCTTGACACACCCAGGATCTGAACTTGGATTTCTGCTAGCTCCAACTACCCTCGTTCTAGTGCATGCTTCTAACCCCACCAGAGGCTGTAGTAGGTCTTCAGTGAATAAAAACCATTTTCTGAAACTCATGGAAATCCTTGTTTGCAGATTTCTCTCCCTATTGGGTTCTCCAAGAATAGGAAGTGGATCTAAGTTACTTTCCTTTGCCCCTAAAACTCCAGGCGCACAACAGAGCATATTACATATGCGTGTTCCATAAATGTTTGCTGTCGTGTGTGGTCAAGTTGATAGTGACCCCATCTAACAGAGTGACCCCATAAAGTTTCTTTTCATCTTTATGAGAACAGATTGTCAGACCTTTTCTCCCACAAAATGGCCGGGTGGGTTTGAACCACTGACCTTTGTTTCATAGCTGCGCATTCAGCCACTGCGCTGCCAGGGCTCCCTCATGAGTGTTTACTGGACAGAATGATGAGACGCAGCATCTGGCAGTGGGACTTCCTGTGCTCGCAGGGCTTGTGAGGACGGTCCTGCTTGTCCTGAATCCGGTGCAGCTGCTGCCGCCGCTAACCTTTTGCTTCTTCAGCATGCTAGGCTCGGGCCTTCCCTGGCTGACCCACCCTCCACCCTGACCCCAGGCCTCTGTCATCCTTCCTGTCCCCGTGAAGTCCCCCTGCCTGCCTTCCTGCTGCCAGTGGCCTGGTCACGCAAAGCACATTCAAGCCTGGCCCTCTCCTCTTTTTGACCCCACACCTTGCTTGAACCCTGCTGCTTCCCTGGTCACTAACTCAGCCAAGGCTAACACAACACTTGGTTAGATAATTGTGACCCAATGAGAGTGAGATTAACTCAGAAAAAGTCAGAGGGCTGTGCCACTCACGTGGGGAAACAGTAGAGTTTACTTGGGTAAAGTTCTAGGTAAATGATGGAAAACAGAAAGGAATTAAGTCACCGTCTCTTTGATCTTGGAGAAGTTTTCTTTTGGTTTAAAGAAAGGATTTCACTTCTCTGGGTTTTTGAGCTATTTAAGATCTTTGATGGCAGCTAATAGCAACTGAACAATTTCAGCTAAAGAAGGGATACAGCACCTCTAGAAGCCCGAAGGTTGGAACGCAGTGAGGCCGCAGGAAAACAGGTGCAGAACCAGAACACAGCACTCCTTGGTCAACATTCTCTTTTCACGTCTTTTCTCCTCTGTGCCTGCCCATCGGTTCCACTCCTGTCCTCTATCCTCGTTGTCTGTAATCTTCCTCATGGTGCATGCTTCCTGATGGCTACAGAGTTGAGTACTGTGATCCTGTCTCTGTCAGAAATCACCTCTTCCCAGGGAAATCCACCTGACTAGTCCAGCTTGAATCAGGTGTCCAGCCCTGGCCCAGTCATCTATGGCTGGTGAAGGAAGGTAATTTTGTGCAATGTGGCTGGTAGTGGCCCATCTCTATGGAGGAAGAAGTAGGAGAAATCATTGTAAATTTAGCAGAAGGCTCAAAATTGTCTACTACACTTTGTTCTATTTACTAACCATTCTAGTAAAAGAATTCTGTGTGGGATCCCAAGGACAGGCTAAGAGAAGAGGCTCCCTATCTTTAAGATTCCTTTTCAGACAAATAATAAATACAGATTGACATTTTAAAAACATCATCCTGCTTAACCAAAATGATGTTCCCTTGGTAATTACGAACTAAGGATGTTTTTTATGCTACTTTTGAAGGTCTAGAATCTCACCTCCCACGAGGCATGTCATGCACACATCTCTGTGGTCCACTAGCAAGACAGTTCTCTGCTAAATCAAGCCAGCCTTTCCCCCTTCTTTAAGTTGCATAAGAGAGAACCCACTCCTCTCCTTCAGCTGCCAGAGTTCTACTCTTTGCCCTAATAAACCAGGCTTATTAGGTATGAGGATGTGGAATTCCCTCTTTTCCAAGGTTAGCACTCTGACAAATTTAAAAAGAGGTCATTTTTGCCACTTCTTCCAAATGTAGTTTGAAACAGGGAGAGAGAGGGAACCAGGATTTCATCCTGATGAAGTGAGAATGAACTTGATTTATTCTGATGCACCTCTGCGCATTCAGAGTGTCTGACCCTGGATCCAGGAATGCAAGGCTGGGCAAGGACAAGCTAATGAGTTGGGACGTGGGAGAGCTGGGCCTCGGTGGACAAGGCACATCCAGGCCTTCGTGCGTGTCCTTCCTGGACGTGGTCTTTCAGGCTGCTGATCTCACTGCATAGAAGGACACGGGCTGCAGAGGCCCATGGAATGGGGGTGACAGCCCTGGGCTGCGGGAGGAGGGTCAGGGCCCTCTCAGAGGGTGGGCTGTGGCCCTTCTCTCCCTAAGCAATATTGGCTCTGCTCAAACCTTCTCAGTCACCCTCCTGGCCTTCTCTTCCAGGCTCCCCAGGTACAGCAGGACGAGTGTGTAACCTGACCTCCCGGGGCATGGACAGCTGTGAAGTCATGTGTTGTGGGAGAGGCTACGATACCTCCCGCGTCACCCGCATGACCAAGTGCGAGTGCAAGTTCCACTGGTGCTGTGCTGTGCGCTGTCAGGACTGCCTGGAGGCTCTGGACGTGCACACGTGTAAGGCCCCCAAGAGTGCCGACTGGGCTGCTCCCGTGTGACCCCGCACAGGTCCCCAGACACCGCCCTCCTGCCAGGATGCCACCCACCCTGCAAGGACACAAGACCTGAAGGTTCTTTCCCCAAGAGGTGTGGCTTTTATCCCACAGAAGCCCCTCCTCCTGGGGTCCCGAGACCCAGGACCAGCTACTGCACATCAGCATCCCCTCTTCCGTCCACCCACCAGCATCCTGGGGCCCCTCGTTTTCTGATGAGTTCTCCTTGGAGAAAGCACGAAAGGCTTTAGAGAAGAATGGTGGACCCGGAAACCCTTCTTCACCCACTACATCTCTCCTCCCAGAGCAGCAGACCAGAGTGGAGACGTACGCCTCAAAGGAATTTTCTCTGTGTCTTCCAACAAACTTCCAAAGTTTAGAAATTTGGGGGTGGGTTTGTTTTCCCCTCTCAGATGTAAAGAAAGTTGAACCAACTCCCTTTGAATTAACTTTTACTTTTTCTTTGAAAAAACAAACAATCAAGACTTGTGTCTGTTCCAGTGAATCTCATAGCTACCAACTTCAAGGTTAATTGGTAATTGCTTAGAGAAAGATATTTTTCAATAAACTTTAGATTTAAAGTGCCTATTTCTCAAGGCGTTTATTGCCATATTAAAATCTGATATAATGAGGTGGGAGTGTCGAAAATCCATTCATTGGTGAGGTGGCATTTCGAATGCTTGCATTGCAGATCCCTCGGCAAAGTGTTTTGAATTATTGTCCCCTTGATATAGAGAGCCTGCAGGGAATGACTCTTTTTTCAATCTCAATTGGACCTGAAATGAAATAAAAAGAGGACTTACAAACTGGGAGTATTGTGTAACTGTTGGGTCAGCATAGAGAAAGGTAACTTGGAGTGTCGGGAAATGTGTCTGCACATCTAAGGGGGGGAAAGAGAGCACTGAATTCCTATTTGGTGTTCTGCATGTGATCATGGAGTTTTGTAACTGAAATAGCCCTGAGTATGAAATCTTTGGGGAAGACAAGAAAAGGGATCTAAAATGCTGACAGAGAAGTTTCCAGAGGTCTTATGCCATCGCAGATGCCTCTGAGAAGTCAGCCACGTATGCTGCCGAGCACCATTCATGGCCATCACCCTTCAAGCCCATTTGAAGGCCTGTCACATTTCATTAGGTCCATCTGGTTCCTCCAAGATGATGTGATACCATAGCCTAAAGCAAATGGCACATAACTTTGCTTAGAAAGTTGGTAACCCTCATGTATTATATTGCAAGCAAATCTTTACTTGGAGACTATATTTAAGAGTCCCAACTGTAATTATGGGAGCATCATTATGCAAATAGCGGCCGCCTTCTGCCACACGCCAAAAAGATGACATCTAGAGAAAATGGAGAGGCTGCTTCAGTTTTAAAACTATTAAAAGGTGAAATGTTTGAAGCTACGTCTTATCACCTTCTGTATTAAGTTCTTGTTCTAAACATTCTGTCTTTACAGAACTGCATGTGTTTCATTGTATGTCTCTGGAGTTTGTCAAATGATTGCCCATTCTTTAACACTCTGACTTTGTTTCCCTAGCCTTGATTTGCAGTAGGCCCCTCAGACTTAGGCTCATGGAAAACACCCTTGAAGAAAGTTACCACTGTTGACATTTACCCTCTAGCCCTCTTCAAAAATGACAGCACTCATTAGTCTGCCCTCACTCCAAGCTCTTAAAATTTGTTGACTAATTTTTCCAAAGTTTTTCTTTTTTCCCCTGAGGATGTAAAGGTGGGAGGTGGGGGTGAGAGAGTGTAGAGGAGCCAGGCGGTAGCAGCTCTGACCTCAGTGTGCAAAGGGGGGTGAGCGGGAAGGCTGAGCAAGGAGGCAGCTGCTCACTTCTTGGCTACACTGAAAACCCACTTGGTTGTGGACTCAGTCCAGGTTCATGGGGACTTTGTGTGTCAGTGTAGCGCTGACTCGTGGGGCATTCAGTGGCCAGCTTTCCTGACGTAGACCTCCCAGCCTTTCCCACTAGGCATCTCTGGGTTGATCCCACCTGCGGGCTCTCTGTTAGCAGCCAAACGTATTAACTGTTTGCACTAACTAGAAACTCCTGAATGTGAATAAATATCCTCACAGGAGAATGAGAGACTGCATGCGGGCCCCAAACTGCAGGTCCTCATGCTACGAGATTCACTCTCGGCCTCTAAATCTACGGATACGTTTAGAACTGGAAAGGAACCTTAAGGACATCTCAGCTACCTTCAGTTTGTGTCTGAGGAAACTGAGACCAGGAGAGGTGCTGGGATCTGTAAAAATGCTGGCATACTACAGACGGACCCCGACTGTGCCTGAGAGACCTAAGCGCTTTATGAAACGAAACGCCTTTTGTCTCTGAATCAGTCCAGAAGGTTCTCAATCATTTTAGCATCCAGTGGGGGTGTTCATGTTTTGATTTTTTCCACTCCTATGATACTTAAGTCTGGCTTTCTCTTTATGCTGAAATGTGTCCTTTCTGATGAGCAAGGGGACAAGGGTGTATCTGTACAGAACACTGGAGGAGTGCCTGTAGGGACGTTCTCCTGTGGCAGTGGACTCGGGAGGGCATGATAAGTGGGTGAAATACTGGCGCGTCTCTACTTTTAAAGGAGACAGTCTGCATTATCTGACAAATATTAAAATCGCACGTGAACATAACGTCCAGCTCTTTCTTTTCAGGCATGGTTGTTGTTGCTAGTTGCCGTGTAGTAGATCTAGGCTCACGACAAACTCCTTGTGTACAGAGAACTGCTCTAGACTGGGACCTTTGTTTAAAAAAGAGATTTTGCTACTTTGAAAGCAGATTGTCAGGCCTTCTTCCTAGATGCCATGGGGCAAGTTCATCCTGACGCCATTCAGGCTACCCTTACAGCACGTAAACATTTGCACCAGCTAGGGAGGGTGGAGGGACAGCTCAGGAGAGGAAGACCCTCGATGACATGGATTGATTCAGTGACTTGGGGAATGGGGGTAGGTGTTTCAGACAGAATAAGATTGGCACAGGAAAGAGCAGGGGTTAGGGCTGTTGTATATAGGGTCGCTGAGTCACTCAATGGGACGTAACAACAACAACAAGGACTCCTTAGTGCTTTGGGAGAAGTGAAGGTCACTGTCATTCTCCATGGAAGCACTAGCTCTTGGCTGAAACAGCATCCCGGGTCACTTGTATTCATTCCCTGCTTTTAATATCTGATTCTTTTAAAGGGTTGAAAGGTATAAATTTCCTACAACAGATTAACAGGCAAATCCATTCAGGTTAAATCTCCTTACAGATACTTTCCCAATAAAAATCATATTCTAAATAGACATTTCCTGAGCCCAAGATGATGATTTTCTGGACTGCCTGAATGAGTGCCAACACAATAAGCAATCTTGACTAGAAAACACCAGAGTTTCTGACATGATTCTGCACATGACTCTGAGACTTGGCATCTGTGCTGTCTCTTCAGTGGATTGACCTCCCGAGGCTGGTACGTGATGCTGATTATTGGAATTCTCTGAGCATGCTTTTGACAAAGTACACTTCAGTAGCAGTGTTCTAGATTGTCGCCATGGTCGAGGTCAGCGTCCTACCTGACGCACCTGTTCATCTCTTTAAATGGTCTCAGCTCAGACACCAAAGACCCCAGTCCCGTTATCATCCTCACTTCTGGCCCTATGGGCCCTGGCTATTTTCGAGAACTACAGTTTTCAGTCAAAAATTCTTCTAGGTCACATAACCTTTGTCCACTTCCCGTACAGAGGTAACTCATGGTCACTGTGAAGCTGAACTCTGTGACACTGATGTGACAAATGCGATAATGGTTACGCATGGTGGACAGTGTTTGGTGGAGCTCCCCGATTAAAACAAGCTTAGAAGCATGAGTGGCATCCACTTCCATAATAGCTTGCCTCTGGAAACCCTACAAACCTGGATAAAGAACAAAAGTTATACAGGAGGTGTCCAGGACTTTTCGTTCATAGGGTCACTATGAGTTGCTTATGACTCGACAGCACTTAACAACAACAACAGAGGCTCAAGGAAGAAGTAGAAGAGGCATGGGACATCCAGAATTGCCATGTGCTCTCCAAATAGATGTCCCTAGATTGTAATAAACGGCCGAGAGGAAGAGTCCAACTGATGACGGTTTAGTCTGGTTAGGACCAGGTTAGGGTGGGGGGATGTGGCTGAGAGGAAGAGAAGGGACACTGTTGCCAGTTAACTGCTCCTGGAGATGGTGGGAGTGGCTGGCTTTCTCCACCCTTGATGGTCACCCAGCCTTCCTCCTGCCCTTGCTGACCCGTCCTTACCCAGCCAACTTACTACGTTAGCATCCCCTGAGCTCAGGTCCCCAGGCCACTGTTCGTATCTACAAGCTTGATGTGTAGCTCTGCACAAGGCTGTCAGCAGGTGTTTGGAAATTACTCAAACTATATCATTAACTCTTTTGATCACATTATTACAAAACTGGAAGAGGGGTGGTGGAAAACCAGATCTCACGTTTCTTTTCCCAAGAAAGTAGCTTTAAAGTCAGAATTCCAATTCCACCATGACCTTTCTGGGCCTTATTATCTATTAAAGAATCTCAAAGGGCACTCTGGGGGCACAGTGGATAAGGACTTTGTCGCTAACTGAAAGGTTGACAATTTAAATCATCCAGCCATTCCACAGAATAAAGACCTGGCCACTTCCTGCAGGAAAGAATTCAGCCTAGAAAACCCAACTAGGGCAGCTGTATCCTGTCCCACAAGGTTGGTATGAGTCAAAATCCATTGGAGGGCCCCTAGTGATGATAATATGGAAGGGGAGAGGGACTCTCCAAGATCTGAGACAGGGCTGTCTACGAGCAGCGGGCCTAATCGGGCATGTGCCAACCCTGCCAGTATGTTCAGGCTGGGTACTGGTAAAGCTTTCCACTTGTTGAAGGCTGGTAGGGCTGGGTGTGTGGCCCAACTAAAGACCCTTTCTCTCCCACTGTGCCCACCCTCATAAATAATAAAGGCTCCATGAAGAGACCAGTGGACCAGAACCAGGCTTTTGTGCCCAT